CCCCAAAACCCCAAAACCCCTAAACTTTTTAGTCAAATCTTAATTGATAATTAATCAAAATGTATTACACTTAGTAGAATTATCTACATTAAGCATATTCTTCTTTAACTTACCCATTTAATATTTCCTTATTTGAATTTCGCTCCCATTCTTTGAAAGAAGCATTTGTATTCCATGTTCAAAGTTATTACAAAATTATCCAAGTTCAATATCTCCATCTTTGAATGTATATACGCCTAGGCCTGATCTCTGATTATTCATCCATTATCCATAGAACTTATTCCCACTTGCATAATTATAAAATCCTAATCCATTTAAAGCTTCATTTAGAAATTAACCCTCATAATAATCTCCGTTATTCCAAGCATATTTTCCAAAACCATTTATTTTATCATCTCTCCACTCACCAATGAAGTAATCTCCATTAATAAAAATGCATCTACCCTATCCATTAAATATATTATTCCTCCATAATCCCTCATAAAATCCTTACTTTTTACTATAAAATCTACCTATTCCATCTCTTTGTTTAGTTTCTTAATCGAATTCCCCCTAATAATAATCACCATCATCTAGTTCAATTAAAGGCATGAAGATTCAATTAGGGTTAGGATGAATGGTATCTATAGCGGCAAAATTGAAATTTCCAAGTGTGACAGCAATTTACTCTACAAAAGAATTAATCTCCTTAATCTTCATGTTAAAAGGACATCTGCCGTCATTTTTGTTTATATTTCTTTCTCCTTTCAATTCTACGTGCTTTAAATGTTTAAGTACAGATTCAGATTTTAAGTTGCATAGCTCTGATAAAACCGAATAAGCATCTAATCTTTACTAAGGATTAAGTTTAAGCATTTTGTTTAAAAGCTGTTCGAATACATTTTTATCCCCATTAAGGCTTATAACTTTATTTTCATCTTGTTTCTTCAACTAAGGAATAGCTAGTTCTTCATAACGATTGTTGCCAGTGCAGAGATAGTAGAGTATAATTCCTGCAGACCATACATCAACTTACTAACTTTAGTTAAACACATCACTACTTTCTACCTCAGGAGCTGTGAAGTACGGATCTTATGTATAAGTAGATTATTTTGTATCCAATTGAGAAAATCCAAAATCACATATTTTGAACTTGCTGCCGTTTTCAAATACTTGGATATTTTAGGGACTCAAGCGTCTATGCATGATATTTCTGTTGTTTAGATGGATTATAGCTTTCATTATTTGTATCATTATATCAGCAATCTTATCATTGGAGAGAGAATCGTTGTTTTCTCTGAATGTTTTTAGATTTGACTCTGATTGCTCAGTAACAATCACAAACTTGTCATCAAAGGTGAAGTAAGACTCATGGAACTTAGTTATATTAGGATGGTTAAGGTTGAATGTATTAATATCTTTTATTATGTTAATCATTTCGTTCCCGAAATTGTCAGGATTAGCCATCGTATCTTTTAAGTTTAAGATTTTCATAGCATAGAATTTATTGTCTTCGTTGTTTTTAACTTTTAATACTGAACCAAATAAACCTTCATTCTCAGCTACTAATTGGTACTTGTACATTTTATCCTTAAGTGAAAGATCAACGATTTTATCCATCTTAATTTAGATACAAATTTCAATTTTATACTATTTAATATTAACTCTTTACTCATTTTATAATATATTGATGCTATACTGTAGTCAGAATTCAAGTTCAATCTATCCTTTGGGGTTTTGGGGTTTTGGGG